CGGGCTTCTGCCTGCAGGCCGTGTCTGCCCGGTTGGCGGTTTTACTTTTTGAACAGAGGGCTTTGGGGGTGTAATAAACGGTGGGGTTTTTGGCGGGGGGGTGGGAACCCCTTAGGTCCGAAAATAAATATCGTCCGTATGAATGGCACTAACAGCGATGGTCCTTGCTGTGGTTTTGCTTAGCTCTTTCTCGGTTGTCTAAATTAATGGCGGGTGGCGCTTGTTGCCGAAAAGCGAGTTAGTAACGCTTTAAAACCCGGCTGGGCTTTGGCCGCTGCTTGAGGAGGGCCTGTCGCTGTTGTGTTCCGTGCGAGGGCAGCTGTGCCTGTCGGCGGGAGGCGAGCTGTGCCTGGCAGCCTTCCCCGCCTGCCCTGGAGGGGCAGCCGCGGCGCGCCTTCCCCTCGGGGGCTGAATTTGCCTTTCCGTCGGGGCTGAGGAGAGGGAAGGGAGGGGAAGCCGCCGCCAGAGAGCGGCAGGGTACCTGGGCTGGGCTGGGCTGCAGCTCCCTGGACGGGATGCAAGGGGAAACGCGGTCCGAAGCAGCGCTTATTTAGGTGTCTCTTCATTACCAGTTCTGCAGAAGTGAAATGCTCCCTTTGTGTTGTGGGGATTCAGGCGCTGGCTGAGATGAACCGGTGGAGAGAAGTTCTGTCTTGGGTCCTGCAGTATTACCATGTCGCCGAACATCTGCCTCCAAAAGTTCTGGAGCTGTGGTGAGTTTCTGTCTGTGGCTGTCAGATACACAGGGCTTGCGTTAGGTTTAAGAGCAGGCCAGGCTTCAATATTGTGTGATATTTTCACTTTGAGCAATATAAGTGAAGATGAAAGCGGAACCTGGGATGGGCCTGTTCTCGACTTGTGTGTGCTGGAGCATGCCTGCAGGCCAGCAGATCGCTTTGCGGTGACAAAGTACAAAAGAGGTGATGCTGAGAAAGTAACATCAGTGGCTGCACCTACTGTCCGCCTCGAAATCTCTTTGTGTTTTAAGCGTAGACCCTGATACGTGCCTTCATGATAGCTGCTTGTGGGTAGTAACTGTCCGTGATCTCAACTTTTACAAAGAGTTAGTGTTTTCTAATACTTTTTTTCTTCTGTTACAGTATCCTGTTATACAGCAAAGTGAGAGAGCCCCAAGTGATGCTGGAGGTTGGCAGTAGCTGGCTGAGAGACCAGACCAATAAGAGCCTCCCTGAGTACGGTTCCTTGCTGGAGCTCTATCTGCTGCACGTGTTGCTTCCGCTTGGCCGGTTTGAGGAGGCAGAAGAGCTTGTACGCGGCTGTGATGTTTTTGACAGCGAGCAGCAGCTAGCATTTCTTGGGACCATTTGTGAAAGCCGATGTCAGTGGACTCAACGGGAAGAGATGCACTTGGCTGCTGAAGAGCAGCAAGATGCAGCAACAGAAAGTGTTTTGGGTAGGCTTTCCCTCTGTTGTTTGTGCTCCTCTTCCTCTTTATAGTTTTACTTCAAGTTAGTTGGTCCCTTACTAACAAAGGGTAGTAAGTATTGACTATGCATTAAGAATATTGTCATGACAAACCAGCCGTGAGGGAGTCTTGCTGCATCTCAGCCATGAGGAGGTCCTGCTGTGTATCACAGAAGGAAATGGAAGACTTAGTGATCCATCTGCTGACAATTACAAAGCATATTTAGTCTCTGCCGATGTCAAGAGATGAGAATTATTCTCCAGGTTCAAAAGAACTTCTGAATAATTTTTTTTTTTTTTTTAAAAAGGTACAAAAGGGAAACTAAAACTGTCTAGCAATCCTTTTCCTTTAAGGGTACATTTTGTTGGCTCTGTGTACTCTCTGCTTTGTCTCCATTTACAGTCGAGCCTGTGTAGAACAATGCATGTCTGGCTTTTAAAGTACTGCTTCTCCACCAGAACTGTAAATCACTTGATGTTATCTCCCAGGAGAGAAGCTAGTGCTACTGTGGTATAAAATCATATTACACTAAAGCAGATGCCTAAAAAAAAGGTATAATGAATTGTATTGTACTGTTTCTCTGTTTCCTATTATAAAAAAAACCCAACCCAACTCTCATGCAATCAAACGAAGAACAGTCTTACCGTAGTATCTTAGTTTCATATTATCTGTATCTGTGTGATTACTTCTTTCACTTTACTTTGCCCTAACAGCCTTTCTGTTCTTATATTGTAGGTGCTCTGTCCCAAAAGCTCTTGACCATGTTGACATTGCTACGCAGAGCACTGAGGTCCATGTCCAGCCACTTCTGTTTACTTCCTTACAAAAAGATGCTCTTGGCTACTTTTCTGTTGTACCTGGTGGTGGTGAGATTAGACCCAGGTACAGTATGAAGATTTCCAATTTTTTAAATTCCATTACGGTTACAGAGAAGAAAATAGTTGCTTTTAATAGATTTGGTCTGTGTAAGTGTCTCATCTTTGGGAGGCACAAAAACTGGGTGACAAGGAACTTACTATTAGGCTTGTTTCTAATGCTGCCACTTGCAATCCGTGTAGAAAGATGTAGCTCTACAAAAGCCAGTTTTCTGAAAACAGTTGTTCCATCCTCAGCTCTTTCCAACAGACAAGGTACAGAGTGTGAGAGGCAGGCTGAGCTGTCCTAGACTCAGCCTCTGCCTCAGTCCACTTGATGTGCTGCAAGGTGAATGTCTTCTGGAAGAGCGATGGCCTGACAGGCTGTCCTGTCAGGAAAGCAGAGTTGCCCAGGGCAGCAATGTAGGAATGCATTTGATCTGCTTATGCTGGAGTTGCACTGGTGATGGCTGCTGCCGTCGCTGAAGAATGGGCTGGGGCGTGGAGGGGATGGGGTGAGTGTTTCCCCTTCTGCTGTGTGACAGGTGCTCCGTAGCTATTCTGCAGACAGCCCATTGGAAAATACTGAAGGCAGCTTGCTAGGGATGGGAGCAGTGCCCTGAGTGAAGGCCCAAGTACTGAGCTGAACGGAAGGAAGTAAGACAACTAGGTTTTGATTAACTCTAGTTGGGATTAGCTCTTTCTTAATATGTTTAGTGTGTCTTAGTTTTACCTTTTATAATGAAAGGCTCTTCTGCTTTTTGTTTTGTTCTGCAGCTTCTCCCACATCACTGCCATTC